TTTCCATGGGAGATGTAATAATATAAGTACTTTTATATATTATCATACTGTATATAATTTTTGTAGTTGTTATAGTTCTTTGAACTTGGATATAATTAGGTTAAGGAATGTATTTTATTATTTAATATTATATTTTATAATGTGTTGATTCGACACTTATTTCGACGACGTAACAATTGTGTAGGTTGGTTGAAATAAGTAATCGAAGAATAAAGGATTCAATAAATAACTTTCGTATAATCGAGTTGATTTTTATTTGCTATTAATAATACATGGTGACGTAAAACATCCAAAGACTAGTACCATCACAGAATAATGGGAGCATGTAGAAAAGAAGAATTAAAAAATTTAAAAATGTGTGACGTACAAGACATGGGCTCTGCTGTTTTAGTCAATATAACAAAGATAAAAACTAAAGTTCCTAGAAAGTTTACGGTTACTGGAGATTTTTATGCAATATTTAAAAAATATAACAGTCTTCGTCCTTCAAATATACCCCACGATTATTTTTTTACGAATTATCAAAAGGGCAAGCGCACAGTACAACCAGTAGGAATCAATAAATTTGGAAATATGGCACAACAAATTGCTGAATAATTGAAGTTACCAGATCACAAAAATTATACAAGCCACTGTTTTCGGCGTTCATCTGCAACAATTCTAGTTAATTCTGGAGCAGATATAACAAAGCTTGAAAGACTCGGCGGATGGAAGTTAACTACAACCGCGGAAGGATACATCGATAACAATAATACTTCAGACTCAGTGGTTTTTGTAGCAGAACGTGCGCAAGAAGATAATATCTATCAAGCTGCTGCTGCTACACCGAGGCATTTACCTAATATTTATCAATTACCATCCACCCTGCAAGGTAATGATGATTTAATAAAGAATGTTCCTATATTTCCGCCTACATCATCCGACATCTCATCTCAAATTTTTAATACACAAGCAGAAGCACCCGTTAGTCAGCCTGAAAGGAGTACCCCGAATCCGTATGATTTATATGAAGATATAAGTGACCCGGAAGAAATTGGCAACAAAATAGACTCAAAAATGTTAGTGAAATTAAACGTTTTAAACAAAAATTAAAGTGTTTTTAATATTAAACAACAGCTTTTTAAATAAAGAGAAAAAACATGTAAGTTTAGAAAATAAATTAAAAAGACTTCAAAAAAAAGTGAAATAATTCAAAACGAGCTTAACGAGTCGTCAAAATTTTGGCTAATTATAGCAGATAAACTTAAAAATGCCAGACACGTATGTTATCCATTGGGTAGTTGGAGGTGTCAAAGTATTCTAAATTTTCTTTCATATCCTCGTAGAAGTTGGGTGTGTATATCTCGAGAATTAGAGAATCAGTATCTGTGTACAATAAGGTGGCATCTTCTCCGTATTTGCTTTTAATATATCCATAATAAAAATCGTATATTACTGTTTTTGATATGTCCAATTGGGCTGCCACCAAGTTCTCATTGAAGACAGAACAAGATTTGAATTACGGTTTGGCTATTAATTCTCTTGCTCCAATTGACCTTGTTTTAATGGTCCACCGTGTACAAAGGCGAATGTCTTTTCTCTTCTTTGATTTAGGTTTTATGTTTAAAACTTAAGTACATTTATACATCAGGGTATTTTTTTAGTCGACTTTGGTATAAGTATGTCTATAAATTAAGTTATTCTTCTTACGAATATTATACTAATTTTTTTCCAATATCCTTCCGTTCTATACTGTACTGAATTTGATATATGACTTTCTTGTGATATTCAAAATCACAGCATATTGATTCGGGAATATATATATTTTATAAAAAAATACTACAACTATGACGTGGACCCTTTTCCACTTGCGCCATTTCTATATATGTTGTCCTGTGTAGTACTTGGAATCCAAAGACTAATAAATAAATGAAAATAAAAGAAATGGAATTACCCCCCCCCCCCCCCGGGAAATGTTAACACTAATTATTCTTTAAATTGCAAATTTCTCTGGATACTTTTGGTGACCCACCAATGCGAAGCACCGTACACAATTTCAAATTTTCAGAAACATCACATCCATACATTTCATGGTTGTTTCGCTGTATTAATTTAGCCTACCTTAGTTACCAGAGTCGTAACAATTTGATTCTCTTTTTTCATTTGATGGAAGTATTCAAACAAACGATTGTTTTTTCATTATTTTTATTTCGACCCTTTATTAAAACCTACAATAATATTTTAAAATTTATTAAGAATACACCGTTAATTGTTATTCCAGTTAGTTATTCTTTCTTCTGATTTTTGTAATAGTTATCACATATCGATATGAAAATTATATCTGCCAATACCCTTCCAATCTAGGCTATACTGCTTATACTGGACTGTCTTATTTCTGTGACATTGTGTACAAAATTTAGGCGAGCAATCGCTACACTCACAATAGCGCGAGCCTCCAAATAAATCGCTGCTGGGCATATTGACAAATTGTTCAGGAACATAATTTTATTTATACATTTTATATAAATGTCTATCAGTGAATTGTAATCAGCGCCCTCTATGAATTTTATTAAAAACAAATGTATTCGTTTTCAAACAGTTCTCAATACATAAAATAGGTCACATAACGTTTCTATATTCTACAATAAGTATATAATATATAATCAATCAAACTTCACCTTGTTTACATTTTAATTCAGTCATTGTGACTAATATTTTTCATATATAATTTAATATTTTAAAATATCCAATATTTATTAATTGCCCTGCACTGGCAATTCTAAGCGCAAGGAAACATATGATGCAAGTACATGTGCACTTCCGACCTATCCTAACAAAAAAAGGTTCTGTTATATGCTTTATATTTCGTTTATTATTAATCGTAAATAAAACAGTCTTGAAAACATGATCACAGTTGACCCCATTCAGTTCAACCGCTTGAGCTCTTGCATTGCAACATGTATTTATGGCATATTTCTAGCGCGAAAAACAAGTTCACACCGAATCACTTTTGAATGTCTCTGTTTTATTGTCTAAAAAAATCTCTTTTTTGCATAAACCATATTCACTTGTAGCTCAGCTCATAAAACATTTTTTATGTTAATCATATGTAAACAAATGTATCCCATAAACATGTAATTAATACTTTAGCTGAAAACTTTGAATACTAATTTTAACAGGAATTTTTGTCCTAATTTCACTAGTAGCACAGTGGCGGGTAATATATTTATTTAAAACTTTTAGTCCAATTCACTCATTTTTATTAATCTGTCTCTTTAATTGCACAATAGCATACACATTTAAATGGTCCAATTGGGGGTATCACAAATTTTTGATCACTTTTTTTAATCATTTCAGGATTTATGTCTGCCCAATATAGCTCGTTTGCTGAAAGTTCTTGAAGGGAAGATGTTTTATAAATAATTTTTAATTCATTCTCTGTCTTCTGAATTACCATTTCTGGAGTGACGCACCGATAGCTCATATTGCCTATTATTTATGACTTTATGAATTTTGTTATATTTGATGAGCTATGTTTTACCTATATTAGTATTACTAAGCACCGTTTAGACTGTTTATTAAAATAAGCTTTTGATAATTATATGTAGCTGCCCCCACTTGTCCAGACAGGTCGGAAACAAATGGGCGCCAGATGTGGCGTCATGTGTTCACCAGATGGCCGGGTGCAGGTGTTCGCGTGAGAACCGGATGTCTTTATCTTTCCCATCAAATTACAACATGTGTTCGCCAGATGGCCGTCATGTGTTCACCATATGGCCGGAAACAGGTGGCCTGAAACAGGTAGCCGGAAACAGGTGGCCGCCAGATGTGCCGGCCGCCATCTTGCGCTGCGCCGCTGCTCCGCATACCAATCATATCTACTCACTGAGAGCGATTTCCTGTTTTTGTTTCTAGTTTTTTTTTTGAAACAAATTAATCTCTTTATAATCCTCAAGGTAAGATGTTTTATAATGGATTTTATTAGATGTAAATTTAAGAGTTTTAATTTTCAACAACGATATTTTTTTATTTTCAGTGTCCTATAACTGTTGGCCATTCAAGTGGTGAATGAATGGAGATCCCTTTCTTGGCTCGTTCTATTAGGCTATGTATACAATCTACTTCCATCTCCGTGTGACCAGTTTCTAAAAATTTTAAGTTAATTTCTTCTATTGGTAATGTGTTCACCGCATAGAGCAATAGAGCTGCAATGTATCTATTGCGATTTTGTCCGCCGCATGAGTCAGACGTGAGACATACATATTTTGTTTCTAATGGTAGAGCTTCATCAACTGTTTCGGAAAAATATTGTAGTTCTGTACCTAGAAAATGAATTTCAATATCAATTTCAAGAACATCATTATTTAAAATACAAAAGTTGTGTAATATAGCACACACTTTGATAATTTCAACTGTTCTTGAAATACTGTAGCAATTTACATGCCGTAATATTTTCCATCTGCATTTTAAAATTCCAAATGTATGTTCAATACTAATTCTGGCCTTACTGAGTTCTGTATTGTTTTCCTTTGTTGTATTGTGGATCTGTCAGTGTCCCTAAAAATACAATATTTATACTTATACAAATGCACTTAGTAATACAAAAACAATCATTTCCGTGGTGCCGGGGAAAAAGAAGATAAGTCGATTATTAAGAATGTCCAGGAAAATCACTTAAAGTTTGGTTACAAACTACAAATTAGGTTTAATATTTATGATACTCAAATATTCAGAGTAAAATACAAATACATTCTCTATTTTGTATTTGAATGACATGTTTTAAATAGTTTTCAATTTTTAAAAATATTTAGAAAAAAAAGCACATATCCCTTTTTGAACTTACCAAAAAAAATACTTATCTCATTATTCACACTTCAAGTCATTCTATTACAAATGAAAATCAAACTTTACTAAACAAAAACTTTATTATTCTTATCTGGCATTGGCGTATCAAGGTTTTTGGTTTTGACGGGGCTGTGCTAGAAAATGCCTATTGAAGCAAAACTTTTTTAAATGAACATCTAGGTAAAAAAATAACACAAAAAATACCTTTAACAAGATAAAATCAATAAAATGCGGAACTATGTTAATTATTATCATCGTCATCAGAAGATACTAGGTCTGGGTGTGTCTCGTTCTCATTATTGGTTGGCAGCGTTTGGTAAAAATCCCAAAATACATTAGAAATAAAGGGTAATAGCTGCAGAAGGTTAGCCTTTTTCTTCTCGGAAATTGGAACTGGGCCAGCATACTGAAGTTGAAGATCAAATTTGGGTAGAGGTCCTCTCTTTCTAAATGAAACACTTTAAATTTTCATGTATGCTTGTCTTGAAAAACATCGTACCCAGGTTATTTTTATCTACTCTTAGTTCCCGAACATTGCGCCAATAAAACGGATTACCCGCTTCATCTTTTTTCTTAATTTGTAATTCCTTTTTTAATAGTCTGGCGAAGTCAAAAAATTTCGACTGGTCCATTTCGAGAACTTTGAAAGGGTGTTTTTTTCCAGTACATCGAACCAGTTGATACCAGTCCCGAGGATGGTGAATAGGTGCTTCTGTACGCTTCTTTGTTTTTTCAATTAGTGCGTGGTCTCCGTCACACTCCATATGGGTGTGCCCTGGTACCAAAAACTTGTGCCTTATAACTTTGAGTGTTGGATGGGATTTCAGTATACAGAAATACATAGCAACAATATGGGCATTCTTATTTTGTCCCGTACAAGAGTCTGAATACAGCGTAATCTCCTCAACGTGATTCGGAAGGCTATTAAGAAACTGGTATAAGCATGATGCGATTTGATTTGCTCCTCTTCCTGCTACAGCTTCATGCCACATAAAGCAGTGGGCCTGATCCACATCACAGTCATGGACTGCTAAATTAAATGTCCATGACTGTCTCAAATAAAAATGTTATGCCAGATGAAAGATGAGGAGTCGGAAGGCATTGCTGAAGATGAAACGTGATGGTTTTCTTTGATCTGTCGTTTTTTGATAATATCTTGTCTTCTGATTTCGACTTATAATAATCATCAACCTTTTTTAAGTGTAAATTTAACTCTTCTTGAAGTTTTGCTTTTTCTTCCAGGCTAATGGATAAGTTTATTTTTATTTTCAGTTTATCGCATTTTCCGCAAGTATCTTTGCTTGGTCTCTTAATCCCAATATTCATAGTATGAAATATTTCTTCAAACTTGGTACGACTAATAGCAATACGATCAGGTTCGATCAGATATTGATTATACAGTTTTGCAATTGCATAATATGGGGGTAAATATTTTTTGTTGCTGTCTCGTCTACTGTAATGACTTTGATATAATAGAGGAACTTTTAAAATGAAGTATGTAACTTTTTTAATGTCATCATCAGTGTATTTGTTTTTTGGCGGATTTTTTCCTCGAATATCACCTTGGTGAATACCAGAACAGTTGGAGCTTACTTTGAGACTACACAGTTCTAGAAATTTGTTTGTTTCACTTAAGGTTCTACGAAAACATTCTTTGCAAATTTTGTGTTCTATTCCGTTAATTCTGAGGTTATACGTATAAGTAAACTGTCTATTTTTACTTTTGCAGGTTATTTTCTTCTCTTTACAAGAAGCCTTCTTTTGTTTTTTTTATTACGCTCGTGATGAACTGCACACGTTTTTCATAGGAGCCACTTCCCCAATATTCCTTAAAAATAATTTCTCTTTCTTCATTAAACTTCTCTCTACATTTCATTCGACAGCTGTCTAATGGTTGACATATTCTTGCCTTTTTCAATTTTCCAGACTCTGTGACTTCGCCATGGTTTCGTTTCAGCTTCCTTTCTAGTTTTTTCGATCTGGTCTTTCCTTTAACGGATTTTCTTTGTTTCCTGATTTTATAAGTTCCAGGGTTTTCTTCTTGCACTGGTGAATGTACCTTCTCTCTTATTTTTGTTAACGCCGATTGCTTTAGCAAAGATAAGGGAGCATCGCTGTTGTTAGAATCTGTATCAGAAGGCAGATATTCATCGTCAGTATTCAGGCTGTCAAAAACTCTAAATTCTTCTGGTATTGAAGGAACTGGACTACTTGAAAAAGAATCTGAAAAAAAAAGAGCACGCGAATGTTTTCTCTGTTTATGAACTTGGTACTCTGTGGTACTCCATATATATAATGTTTACAAAGACATTAAAAATCTAATATCAAAATCTCTACGCCAAATATAAAACCCAAGTAACTTAATAGAACCCGCCAAAATAAATTATAGCCGAGTTTGCTGTTTACATGTTAATTTAACACATCAGAAATTTTAAAAACACTAAAAACGATAGACCTGGCAACACCACATATTACACAAACCGTAATAAAAATAAAAAAGTCCTGGCTCAGAATTCGAATTTAAAATTTAGGAGAAAAAAAACGGAAAAAACATGAAAAGAAAAAAATCGTAAATAAAACAAACTTTTAATTGGTTATATTTCTCCAAAAGAACGAACATCACTTAAAATCATCGATGTTTTAAAAACATCGATAAACAGCTCCCCCCTCCCAACTGTTTCTTTGAATGCCGCGCCAATCTGACTTTGTAAATACTACAAAAAGGACAATACATTACATGTGTCACGTATTGCAATAAAATTTCTTAATTTTTAATTAGAAACGTTGTTTACAAGGTAAAACAATTGGGTAGTATGATTGCTTGTCTATCAGAAAATATTCTCAATAATGTATTGTTTTTTAAATTTTGAGATTAGAAAATAAAATGCATAACTTTAGTTTTAAATCTACTTACGAATTTCATATTCCTGATTTTTGTGGCACATGGACACAAGCCGCTTTCCTCTTGACTCCATAGAAATTCACTTAAAGCGTATTTTTTATAAATTTTATTACGAGCGACACTTCTTTGAGCAAGGCTTAACACACACTGAATTGCATCAAAAGGAAACTAAAGCGATATGTAAATGTAAACAAACAAAAATATTTCGGACCAAGTGAGATATGTTGACTTACCTCGTTATGTCCGTATTCATTTAATTTTTAATTTTGTTCCGGATGAGATAAGTTGACATTCTATAGGAGATATTTAAACTTACCTCCTTACGAACGTCCCTAATTGACGCGTCTTTGTTCGATCTGACTTATCTTCTTTGGCCCAAAGCAAGGTTTTGATAAATACATCCAAAATCAAGACATATCTCGTTTTGAGCAAAAATTGACTTATCTCCTTTTTCCCCGGCACCACGGATTTAACCTAAACATTTATACAAAAAGCCAGTCTACTAGGTATGTAGTAGCAGTTTCAAAAAAAGAACATTAAATTTTTACACTAACTTTCTCAAACTTGAAATCTACGTATAACACGAACAAATCAAATTACCGGTAAGGTGTCATCAGCCACTGTCTGCAGGGGTATGCAGATTCACCTACTAGATGGTACTTATCATAAAAATATTTATCTGTACCAAATTTGGTTATGGTTATGTTCTGATACAGCTGGGAATATTTCAAGACCTACAAAAACGATCTTATAAATTAATACTGCCTATATATTGTGTACCAAGTCCATAAAGCTGATATTTTTGGCCAAATCAAAAATGTATGGCCAAAACGTAGCCGAGGCCAAGCAACTTCTGGTTAGGCCAAAAAAGACCAGAAGACTGAGGTGCACAACACAATCTGAACGCTTTAATAAATAAGGGATTAATTATGAATTAGTATAGTAGATTTTCGTCCAAAACAAACCTACAATAAACTTCAAAACAGTAACCAAACCACTCTATTTTATATTACTTACCCTTGCATGTGTGCAGAACCAGGAGAGCCAACAAAAATATTGGTAAACACATTATCTGGGGTACATATTACTTTAAGGAGTATGGAATGGAAAAATTTACGATTTAAATAACTATCTTGCTGATCTTCTGGAACTTTAACTTTTATATGGCTACCATCAATTGCACCAATTATATCTAAAAGCAAACCAAATATATTAAAAACAGTTGGTATAACAATAACAATCAAAAATTGCTATCAAAATTAAAACTAATTAACAGAACTTACTTGGATATTTACTCTTCTTTGAGAATTCATTGGTAATTCTTAGACACTCATTTTCCTTTGGCCAACAAATATATCTTTCACCCATTTTCTCCAGAATAGCCAACATAGTTGTAAAAACTTGGATCACTGTGGATGTTGTTACATCAAAACGATCAGATACTGATGCATACGTATCTCCTTTGGCTAGATACCAAATCATAATTAATAATGTTTTTTCTAAAGGAACTGATGGTCGTCCACGCATATGAGTGTGTTGGACCCGTTCTTTAACATAAATGTGACCAACATCACTTAATAAATTTTCATATGTATCTCGTGTCATGCAAAAATGCATATAGAAATCAGTGTCTAAGTAATTTGTTAGCCACCTTTCGCTAAAGAGAGGTATCCTAAAATGGTCTCGAAAGAAACTACTAGCTAACAACAAGGTCAGGACAGTATTTCCTCTACCCAAAACAATTGGTAATAAGTTCATTTCATTACTGGGAAACATAAAATCCTCCGTAACACTAGGTACTACAGCCATTAACATTCTTCTTTTTCTGGAAGTCTCCATAACCACTCAGCATGAAATAATAAAAAAAAATGTTATAAATAAACGAATTTTATACTAGAATTTCAACATTCTCAAGCTTCGATTATAAAATTAATACTTACACTAAAACGGCGCACTTATTCCAGCAAATGTATGAAAACTACTTAATATCAAACGTAAATTTAAATAATAATTAAGAAGTATATGTAAGTAAATATCTATTTTTCTCAAAAAAATACAATAGGTACTACAAATTCCAAAATGTTCTTGTAAAATATACACAATAAAAATAAAATAATAACAATAACAATCTGACTAACCTGGCAATAAAAATCACAAAACGCAACTAATTTTCAACATTTATATTTTGTTAAACGTCATAGATTACGTCACAAATTACGACCGCTGTCAAATTTCAGTAGGACCGCTGTCATTTATTTGTCAACCGGAACCGCTCGCGCGAGTTAAATCGAAAAAGGCTTATTTTTATTCGAAATTAGTCACCAAGCCTGCCAATTTATGAAAAATATATAAACAGTTTCTTAAAAATGACTTTTATGGTGGTGCTAACTTAAGCGTACTACTATTTTGCCTCTAGCCATAAAAACACCTTCATCAAATTTACTGGCTCTCTGTCGGAACCCCATAGAATAATTAACCGGCTATTTTATTTGGCAAAAAGCAGAATAATGCTTGGCTGTGCCTGTCAAGTATCAAGATGTCAACTGTGATGTGTGAATGGCTTTTAAATGTTAAATTATTTAAAAACTTGAGGGCGTTAATCAGTTATTAATCTAAATAAAATTTAATTCCTGTAGAATTATAAACACTTGTCCAAGAACCCATTTTAGTGCTTGTAGGGTTTTTTAAAAAGTTTTTAAATTTGTTTGTCTTAATTGTTCGTCCATTCGTGAAATATTTTAATAATTTTAATTAATTGTTTTAGACCTACTTTTGTTTATGTGTTTTGACATCAACTTTTTGTTGCAACTATTGTTTTTTTATATTTTTTATGTATTTTAAAAAATACTCGCATACTTGTTTTTACACCGACCCTGGGATAATTCTATTAGCTTAGTCTTAAATAGATGAGTAATTACGGGTGAGTTCTTGATATTTGACAACTTTCATATTAAAATGTTTAAACCCACTTATTAGTTATGAGCTCATTCGTTTTTCCTCTCTATTTTTAGACCTTACCTGATGATGAGGATTTGATCCTCGAAACTGGTCGTAATAAAATACTCTTGTGAGATCCTAAGGACCACCCTCGTTTGATTTACCTTTTTGAAATAATTTGTAGTGTATCTCAATTCAGCCTTTCCATAAATAAAGGTACAGCAAGACAAATAGTATAATGTTCTTATACAAAGCACTTTTTTATTATATAAAAGAGAGTTAGGATATAATGCTGGTTTTTTGTAGATAATTTTAATTATACAGTTTTGGATTACATATTCAACCAGCGAATTGTAAATAATAATTAGTAAACTCCTAGTCATAAATTTCCTTAATTCATAAAATTTAAAAATAAATCCTCTTACCTTGGGATTTTAATGACGTAATGTAATTAACCCATTTCAAATTTTAATCAATTATGATACCGAGGTATTTTGTTGTTTTTTATTTTAATTATAAAGTTGTCATTTATTTGTATGTTGAAAGAAGGCCTTTGTAAATTACATTGCTCTCTATGGATCTACTTTAACACAAAAATGGTTTTGTGGCTATAAAAGTTGCTAGAACCTATCGTCGCAAAACTATTAATAATTTAAACATAGTAAGTAGTAAAACGAGGGGTAAAATAACAATAAATTAAGAGAAATACTTAAAAAGGGCAGGTTTAAAGAGTATTATCACAAGAAAGTATATCCGTTCTGTTTATTTATCAAGTATTGTTTGAGGTTACTTTTGAATACATTTGTTTTTATTTTTAATTTCTGTAGGCAGTCTATTCAATTTTTTAAACCTTTAATAAAAATTGTATTTTGGGAACTTTTAGTGCTCGAACGAGTTTTTAAACCCTAATCAAAAGGCGATATAGAATGGTTTTAAAAATCAAGGCTTGTGAAAATCATCACTTGGTTTAACCTAAGTAATGCCAATGCTTCACAAAACAAAAAATTCAACGTGCTAATACTACTATCGGCTTTCTGTATTTCATTCCAAGTTAAATCATTTCTCGTTTTTGTTACGCTACGAGTTTATCCTTGTGGGCCTCAGTCTCGATAAGGTGGCAACCACCATTTTAGCGTCTCTCGAATTAATCTAAATTTACTAGTACTGTACTTTATGCACATTTTTAAACTATAAAATATTTTAACAAAAGTATTGTCCGTTACAATATTTTTTGTTGTTCCCATCATTCAAATTAAAATTTCTTTCTATTTAAGTTTTTCATTTACAGATATTTTTTAACGTTTAACATAGCTGTTGTAGATGAAGTGAGCCGTCTAAATGCAAAACTCGCCAAGTGCAAACGAAGTAGTTTCGAGGAAACACGAAAAAACTGTTTTGCTTAAAACTATTGATCAAATAATGTGCTTTAATATTTTTGTTAATGTAGAATACGGTTTTGAGAATGAACTTGAAAAATGGCGGGTTTTGCAACCAAAATTAAGTGTTTTAAAAACTTGATAAAGCAATGTTAATTTTAAAACATATCTCTTTAAAAAAACTTTCTTAAAAAAATACAAACAAAACTAACATATGTTATTTAAATAAATCTTGTGCATCTTTGGGGTTTTCATCGCAGATGAATTCATCCATAATTGTGGAAGAGCTTGGTAAATCTTGAACATTAATCTCCATTGCATCCTTATAAAATTTTAAATTTTGTAAAGATTTCCAATCAGTTCCAAAATGCTTGGATAATAAATGGTATTTCTTTTTTTCGTTATTAACAGGATGACCAGATACAAGCTCTTTTGACTTAATGGATAATATTGTTTTGCCCTTTTTGCAAACGCTTTTAGGCATTCCCATATTGGTGCGATAATTTGCTTCTCCTTGAATTAACACTTGATTATTGTTTCTTATCAAGAATATTTTTTTTCGATGGATTAAATTGAAAGTGCCAACTTCCTGGTAGTTTGATAGTAGCTTGACCAGCCGCTTTCCAATCATAGGCATGCTAATCTCTTCCCAAGACTTTTATTGTTGAATGTTGTTCTATAATGCTGTAATACTCTTGTAATTCACAGATAGATGTATTTTTTTTATTTCACGTTCAATTAATCCAAAAACCCGGTCAGG